TAGAGCGGTCATTGAGAATTCTGTCTCTAATGACTATTCGCGAAGGACTATGTCATGAGTCGAACTCAGACCCTATCTAGGATCGAGTCGCGAATAAGGCTAAGAGCCGTGTATTGCAGTTGGTTGAAGGCCTTCAGCTCACAACTCACGATAGCTCAGAGGTGAAGCAAAAACAACAAACATGTTCGGTCGCTACAGCATCCAGCAATTCTCCTTCATGGCGGATGCCATCAACAAGGATACCGGGAAGGAAGTGACATTCACCGTCAATGGAGACTTGACAAGCTTCACCGTTCGTGTCCAGAATCAGGAAGAAACCGAGAAAGTGGAGGCCGATCAAGTTGTTCCCGCGGTTGCTATTGCCCAGCCATTTACTCCCACAGAAGTTGCCGATGCCGCTCCCCCTTCCCCAACTGCTGAAAGTCTGTCTTCGCAATCGGAATATTCGGAGGAATTGTCAGCTGACGACGGAACGGACGCAAACTATGGCATGGAACAGCAAGTCGACTTTCTTACCGAAGGATTGAATGACAGCGTCAACATCTTGGACACCACTGATTCCAGTTCCGATTACGACGAAGTTGGAGGATTTTCTCAGGAGCAGTATTTCACGCCTCTCAAAAAGGTCGCCACCAAGAAGGCACCCAAGAAACCCGCTGCCCGCAACCAAGCCCCTGTTACCCGCAAGCAGCCTGGTCGTCGCGGCAAGAAGTAAGCGTCATTGTCTCATTTGGATTGGTGGGTTGGACGTCAAACGGAGCGCCATTGTTGCATGGTTTCCTTCGAAGCGTATTATTGTGCTTTGCTTCGATGGTTGTGGTGGCTCTCCGCTTTCCGCAGCCGTTTGGTCTTGGAGGGAGTGGTTGGCGTCCAAATAACGCCAGAAAACGTTTCCTACTGAAATAGTATCTAATTTAGTAGAATTAGTATGTCTTATGATGACGTGTCGAGTCCGGAGAGCCACTCCAGCGCTCATTCCCTCCACCGGCAGCTCACTCCCATGGAACGAATATTTTCAACAATGCACTCTTTACACCTCTCTTTACGCATTGAAGAGTGTGACAGCCCGTGTTGCTATTGATGGATGTATATAGAGGCTATATTGGCGTACTCTTTAAAGGCGGCTTGGCGCTTCGGCCCAATCCATCAAGCTATCGTATGTCTTTTTTCGAACAACACTATCGTGTGCAGTTGCTTTTCCAATCGAACTCACCATGGCAAAGAAAAAGCGGTTTGCGACGGACGCTCAGATTGTCACAAGGAAGGATGCAATTCCTGGAATCATTCGGAAAGCAATAGGAAAGGGGCGGTGGCAGGTAGAGCTTGTCGACAAGCAAGGCAAACCCAAGAAGGTGTTCCTTGAAGTTTCCACACAAATGATCCGACATCCACTCGATGGAGAATATCCAATACCAACCCAAGCAGCAAGTGATTCGAGCGAAAGCGAGGATGAGAACAGCAACGATCAGCATCAAGTCACCACCCAGGCACGAGATTTGGATAATGAGCCTCTTGATGAATCCGTGGAGGTTGTCGCCCCCCCTTCAACAATTGACACCAACAACAGCGAGGCGGAGGTGGAACAGGTGGAGGCTGAAGAGAGCAACAATGAGGACAACAGCGACGAGGATGATGATGAGCAAAATCCAGATGATGAGCTCCAGGAAGACATTCCACTCTTCGAAGGGCAGGATCGAGAGGAGGCCGAGAGAGTGGCAGCGGATCAAGTCGCTTTCAATGCAAGAGGCATTGAGACCGATGATGAAAAACATCGACGAAAGTGGAACCAATATCTTACCGAAAAGAATGTCTTGATCAATGATGGATGGTCCGTTGAATGCAAGCCGCCAAGCAAACAGTCAATTCAATTGGGGGAGCGAGTGATTGAACGCAGTGGCCAGAAGAGGACTGGCATTGTCGTCGCAGACGACCGCGAGGAAGATGACAGTGGTCCATTCTGGTCGATCCAATTCCAAAATTCCACCGAACCTGAAAAGAGGATCTCATCCAAAAAGCTACAGCTTGTCAAGGACAAACGGGTGGTGAAATGGAAAACCATCAAGGAGTCCAATCCACGGCGTCCGGTGGAGCAAGCTCGGAATGCAGGTGTGGCTGGTTTCAAATTCCAGGAGGCGTTTCAAGATAATGCCGATCCAGCAGAGGCGACATACAGTTATCCATTCTTGCTTCTGTTGATCCATCTTTGGCCTGGCGATTGGAGGAAGCACCTACACAACTTGAATCAAGCAATCGAAGCAGGCAATCGAAGCATCCATGCGAATCCCAACATTCGGAATGAAGAGAAGAAGACGATTGGATTAGTCTCTGAGCGAGAGTGGTGGATTGTTTGGGGAATTATATTCGTGGCTTGTCCTTGCCACCAAGGAGGAAACAAACTGTTCCAACAGCGCCGTGAGAAAGGTCGACTGGCTCCAGTTATCAACATTGCTGTCGACAAAGACATGTTCGACCAAGCGACGGGAGAAGCTGGAAAGAAATTCATTTCTTTCGATCGCTTTAAGACTATCAAGGAGCGACTTCACTTGGCCTTCCACGATGGCTCGGAAACTGATGATCCATGGCATCCAATTGCCCAGGTGGTCGAAGATTTTAATGACAACCGGAAGCAATGGGTTGTTGGCCAGTTCGAAAGGGTGTTGGATGAGTTGATGAGTGCTTTCAGACCTCGCTCCACCAAATCATCCCTCTTACCATTCCTCTCGTTTATCTTCCGCAAGCCCAAGCCACTCGGAACAGAATACAAATGTGCAGCAGATACCGCCACCGGCATCATTACATATATGGAAATACAACGGGGAGCAAAGCCGATGAGAAAGAAACCATTTCAATCGAAGGTCGCCTCCACGGCTGCTTGCACGCTTCGACTTACCATCGGAGGCACCCACACTGGCATCGCTACAAGGGAGATTGCAGCAGTCAAAACAGCCACTGGATGGTTTCCGAAGAAGGCAATTGAAAAGACAATGAAAGATTGGCCTGCGGGGTCCCATTTGGTCATGGAAACAACTCTTCAGGGGTCTGGCGTGGAGCTTTGTGCCATTGGATACAAGTACAATTCGAAGAAAGTACTCTGTTTTGTCATGACAAAGGACGCAGGATCAACCACCGAAGGGAAGTCCTATATTGCTCGCTTTCCTGACCCATATGGGAATGTAAAGGAGAGGCCCGTCAGTCGACCTCAGGTGCTGTCAACCTATTTTGCTTCATCGAATCTCATAGATGCTCACAACCAAGCACGCCAAGACCTTCTCGGTTTGGAGAACTACTGGGCAACTCAAAACCCATGGTTCCGCAATATCACCACCATCATTGGTGTGACAGTCATCGACTGCATGAAAGCTCTCAAATATCGCCTTCCAGCTCAGTTTGGGAAGATCACCGTAGAGGAGTTTGCTGATCGGCTTGCCTATGATTGCTTCCACAATCCATTCAACAGCGGATCAGCCACAACAGCGCACGGAGACATTGTTGCGGATGGTATTCATGATGCCGAGTCACAAGCGGACGTGTCAGCAGTTCCTCTTCGTACTGCGGGATTCCCAAGCGTCGTATTTGGTGGAATGGAGAGGCTTGCTGGAGGAATGGAAAACATGTCCATTCGTTGCTGCAGCACCGTTGATCCTTCACCGCTGTCGATGGCAACATCAGGTGGCTTCTTCACTGCCAACAACGAAGCCTCCGTTCACGAAATAATGGTTCAGAGAGTCAAAGACAACAGCGGCCAAGGAACCAAACGGCGATGTGTTATCTGTGGAAATGACACACGCAATGAGTGTGCCCAAAAGACGTGTAAAGAGGCCGAGCGAGGGTATGGCAACAGCAAGTATTATGGAGTTCCTGTCTGCAACAAGGTGCGACCGATCATTGCTCGGAAGAAGTTGACGAACAACATGAAGTCTTGTATTCAACTCCACAGAGAGGAGTGTCGGAAGAAGGGCTATTGATGTCTATTATCTTGATATCCAAGTTGATCGGACGTCCACTCGAAAATCACAAACAACAACAAACTATGCATGAAAACCAATAACAATCAGCTACTATAACCGGCCACTATTATCACCAGCTCGTCTGCTGGCACTGTTGTTGCCATTTGGTGCCGCTGGAGCATCCTTGGATGGCCATGGTGACTCTCCTTTTGCAGTGAGGATCTTTGTCAACAGTCTGCGTACGTAGATCCTCAAACCTCGGATAAGCCTGCGGATCGGATATTTATCCGCGGGGCACTACGAGGCACTAGTACACACAACCAGCGTTGATGGTGACCAGGCAAAAGGTTTGACAACACCCGTCGCTCCTCGCACTTACCAAACCGCGACGTATGTGCTTTGCGCGAGGGGATCACAGTCCACCAAGGTGGGCACGCTCGCAGCGCCAAAGTTCATAGGCCGGAGTTGTCAAAAGCTGTGTTGGCTTACAATGGAGTGAAAGATTTGACAATTCTTTCTTCGGAGGTCGGCCAGCTTGTTGGCTCCAGAGCACAGAGATGTCATACCGGGGTGTAGGTACATCGTACCGGTATGCAATATAGGTTGTACATATCTTTTCTTTTGGTTATCAATCGAAGAAAGTTGAGCTATCATCCAGCCTGTCGTCAGGAGTCCATTCAGAAAACGATGGTCAGATGATAGCCCAACCAGGGCTGTTGTAGTAGTTTTGACCATGGAGCGACATGGTTGGCGACATCTTCCATTGGCAGTTGGCAGATCCATCAGGCATCAGGCATCAGGCGACTGCTACGGAGCGATTTGGCGAACAATTTGAACATTTCCCGCTTGGAAGGCAGCGTACTAGTAGCTAGCTTCATGTAGTACTTGTAAGCAGTTTGGATAATTGATGCAGCTATTGTTGCAGCTATTGAGGCTAGCCCTGTAGTCTAGATAGAGTGGCAGGATCCACACTGACCAGCTAGCTGCGGAACCGCCAACATCATCGACGGTGCATGTACGCCGCAACAATATCATAATAATATAATAATATTATATGTGCAACTTGAAGTAATGACCCAATGGCCAGTGGTCGCACACTTCAGGACTTTTCTTCTCCAAGCAAGCGAACGCCAAAGACTGCTTCGGAGGTCGGAGGAGTATTCGAATATCAGTAGCTTCTGGTGCCGGTGCATGCAGGTCTTCGATGGTCACACATACCGGTAACCGGTAGGGGAAAACAGTTCTTCAGAAGTAGACGACAGTACCGGTACACCCAAAACACATTCTGATGGCGAATCTCTGGTTGAAGCGTTTTGCACTGTTTTGTGTTTTGGGGTTTGGGGCGTGTTGGCGTGGTGTTGTTTCCCTGTGGTTTCCCTCCTTACAATCAGCTTGAACATTCTGACATTCTGTACTTCTGTACTATCCCCTTCACTCTCAGTGGTCATCAACTTTCCGTTCGAGTGACAGTCGAATCTTCTCTGGGGTTCTAATCATTGCCAGAGATAATGGGTCTGTGACCAAGTCAATGGCTACTTGGTGACTTTTTCTCTTCAGATTCTTAAATAACTGCAACAAGGTCTTTTAAAAGGCTTCCATTGTCACTCAAGTTCCCTTTTGGCAAAACAAACAAAAATAAATGACAATATTTTGAGATTTTGAGCTTTTTGTTCAAAGAACGCCGCGTGCGTAGTTTCTGCCTGGTGACACTATTATTCCACCGGTACACCGGTACAGTCGGTAATCGGAAATGCAAAAGTTTGTTTAACTACTATGAAGTCGCGGTCACAAACAAATGAGAATGCCGGCTTGCTTGATGATTGATAAAAGATCCTTTCTGCGGTGTGCGGTTCGCACCTCGATCCTCGTTCTGAGAAAGCTCACAATTTGCAACTTTGCCCCTCTTGGTCACTCCGATCCCCAAAACTATCAAATCAAACCATTCACCGTGTCGACTACTAAACTCGCAACCATGGGAGGCTTCAGCATCAATGACCTCTTCAAGAGCATGAAGATGAGCAAATCCAAGGTGAAGCCTGAAAAGATCATCGAAGAGGCTTATGCTTGGCTGGAAACTGCAACTCTGTTGGCGGCAGTGGATATGGAGATCTTTTCCGAACTGGCCAAACACGGCCCCATGACCCATCTTCAGATCCGAGAACACATGGAATTAAACCCCAGATCAACTCCTGATTTCCCCGACACGTTGTTGGCAATGAAGTTGTTGGAACGAGATGGAGACGGAGACACGGCCCTGTACAGGTGCAGCAAGGAGACAGCTGTCTATCTCGACAAGAACCGTCCTACTACGTACCTGGGCACTACCCTCAAGAAGGTCCTCAAGCTCTATGTCCAATGGGTGGACCACCCAGAGATGCTCAAAGACAAGCACCAGAAGCAGCAAAAGTTGTCAGAGGTGGAGGATCAGTTCCGTGCCTTGGCTGACTTCAACATGCTCAAAGCGCAATTCCAAGGCGATGCGTCCGAGAAGGAAATGAAGGTCACTCCCAAGTACATCATCAAGACCGCCTTTGCCTTTTGGACCTCTCGAATGTTGCTGACTGCCTGTGAGTTTGGCCTCTTTACCCTTATCGAGTCCGAACCCGGCAAGGAATTGCCCATGAATCACATCGCCAAGGCACTGGGGCTGCGCAAGAGCACCACTGCAGAGTTCCTTGACAACCTCGTCAAGAGTGGAATGCTCAAGCGAAAGGGCAAGGAAGGTGATCCCAACGCTCTCTACTACAACACAGCCAACTGTGCTCACTACCTGGACCGGAACAAGGAGATGTACATTGGAGGCCTCATGGAGTTTTTTAGTGCGTATCATTATGCCGCTGCTGGTGGTCTTGTCGAGACACTGCAAACTGGCGACTCTCAGTTGGCAGCCAAGGGCACGGAAAAAGACTTTTACGACGCCCTCTACCCACACGAGGGCGCTGCGGAAGGTCTGGCAGGTGGTTTGATGAGTGTCATGACCGAAGCCTCGGTTGTCTTTGCCAAGACATACCCGCTCAAAAAGTACAAGACGGCATTGGATGTTGGTTGCGGGTCTGGTCACTTTGCGGCACGCATGGCTCGTCAGAACCCTCACACCTGCAGATTACCGTCACGGACCGCGAGGAGATGATTCCTGCCACACAAAAGTTCATCAAGGAACGATGGCCCGATGTGAAGGACCGCGTGATCCCTCAAGTACACGATTACTTGAAGGAACCGGCCCTTCCCAAGGCTGATGTCATCTCCATGACCATGGTGCTCCTCCAGTGGGGTATTGACACCAAGAAAATGCTGGTGCGCAAGGCCTTTGAGGCGTTGCCCGAAGGAGGAGTGTTGGTCGTTGTGGATCACTTCATTATGGACGACGCCCGGCGCTATGATGCCTTTGGTTTGCGCAAGTCGTTGCTGATGTTCCTCATTCACGGTAACCAGGTAGGTGGACAGACTGGTGATGAAGTGGGAGGTCGAACGTTCACCTGTGGAGAGTACCGAAGCTGGTGCCTTGAAGCGGGCTTCAAAAGGGTGGAGATGGTTCCTTTGCCAGGCCAGCCCATGCCCGCTGGAGTTGCTTACAAGTAGTAGATTTCGACCACGGTTGCCCTCTTTTCCTGCCCATGACAGTTCCGTCCTCGATCTGGTTCGCGGTCAATTAAAACAATGCATCTAATCTTACCGGTAGTTTCCGATAAAACGACGTTTTAACTTACACGCTACCGGTACAAATAGATTTATACACTACCGGTACCTGCTGGGCAGGAAGTTTTCACTTCCCCGGCTTCGCTGCACTTCGACAATCGAGGCTGAATAATTGGCCGAGAGCCTACCTGCGCCACAAGCAAGGGCTGGCTGCATGTCCTGCTGTGTGAACAGAAGGCTTGGTTGAAATAGAGCTCTCGAGATAGAAAAACTTTCCAGTTTCGTGTTTGCGGGGTTTGAAGTTATAGAACCAAGGCAGTATTCATTGCAAGGGCGGTAGCTACGGTATACCTTCGTTCATGTATGTTAGCTGGTCTGCTGTGGTAACTCAGTCAGCAAGGCGGCCTCAGAGACCGGTAGCTATACTCTACAACGCAGCCACTATGCGGCATACCATTGCGAGCAAAGCAAGTCTAGTACGCTAGGTTAACTGGGTCACCCCTCCGTTCGGATCTGTATCATTGGGCGCGAGAAGGAGTTAACCAGGCTGCCCGGAAACACTTTGTTGCTCCAAGTGTATTGCTGCCTGGAAATGCACAGTTACTTTCATCACACACGTGAACTTCAGTTGGCAGCCAGATGGGACTTCAGTCACATTTGGGTTCCCACTTACTTTAGAAGCTCGCCTTCCGCAGGCCACAAACTGCGAAACCTATCACAATTTGATTTTGCAAAAACAAATCGACAATCGCTATCGACTACCGCTATCACTACTATCAAACAAGTACACAACAAAGCCAGCTCTCTCATTGCACACATTCCGCAGAACGATGGATCCACCCAACACGCAACCCAAAACAGAAGAGGTGGTGCGCAAAGTAAGCTTTGCTACAAAGAAGAGGGTGCACATGATAAGAAGAGTCCCTGAAGCGGACCGCTACACGGTTTGGTACGGCAAAGAAGAACTTGGAAATCTTCATGAAAAGGATCGAATGGACGTGATGAGGTATCAGATTCAGTTCGGGATGATGGGCCACGCTGTCCAAAGCGACCGATACACCATACGGGGTCTCGAGCAGTACTTCAATGGGCTGAACCACGTTATCGCTTTCGGGAAGACACAGAGGTACATTCGGTCAGTAGTTCAGGCCTACAAGTGGCAGGCAGACCACAACCAAATCAACGTTGAGAAACTTGGGGCTTTTGCGTCCTCCAAGTCACGAAGAGAAGTGAAGAGGTCGCAGAACATCGGGACACAGGATGCATTCGACGCGTATGGCTTTGACAAAGACAAGCACACTGCGTCCAGAAAAAAGAGGATGGTGCGCAATCGAGAGCATGAGACGCAGTATTCTCCGTCGAAGTCATCGGCCAAACGTTTTCTCCCCGAGCTACCATTTGCAATCAAGGATACAATGAAAATTTCGCTTTAGATTGACTTGCTTGACTTCATGCGCTACCCAAATTGAGGAGCTGCGAGGGATTTGTTTCCCCGCCAGAGCAGGAAGAAAATGCATTGGACAATTCCAGGCAAGCTCCCACCCAGCTACGAATAGACTTTGAAACACATATAGCAGAGTTTTATTACGACTCTCTCGCTCCTGGCTCACTTGCTCCGTAGCTTCCATTAGGATACGAGGAAACCAGCCTAGCCTCCCGTGTGTAGCCGTTAACACTATCCAGCCCGGACCATGGCATCTAGATAGTGCTGGTTCTCTTGAGGGAAAGAAATGGCGTGAAAGCCAGGAAAAAGCTTGGCAATCAAATCCATCCTAGCCTCTGCCTTGCTGCAACGCTTTGATCTTGTAATGAC